AAGGCTGTCTTTTAAGGGTTAATGTAGAAACTCGTTTCATAGATGATGGAATTGGTCTTGAAAGCTGCATAAACCAAGGAAGGCCAATGCCGCCAATAATGCAATTTCTTAGTTTTGTGTGTTAAGTATCGCTATAGCAGTCGAATGGGCATAGTCTTTTAGCTTTAGCAGTGGATGTAGAAACCCTTTTAGTGTATGATACATTTGATCTTGGCACCTACACAAGCTAGGCATGCTAGGCCAGCCAAAACTATAATTTATCAAATGGGAGTCATTTTTTAGGGACGGATGTGGAAACCTATTTAATGATTGAGGAAATTAGTCTCGACACATAGACACACTAGGCATGGCCTAACAAACAAAATTGTTATTTCACAATTTTGATGGCCAAGGACTATTGTGGTCATTCTAGTGCCTAGTTGAGTACTCTATTCTATGGTTGGACATGGTAACCCATTTTATAGATGGTGAAATTGGTCTCAAAATTTAGACACACTAGGTAGGGTTGGGATGGCAAAAAGTATGATTTTGAAGTTTTAACCATTATAAGAACTATTATGGTAATTTTGGGGGCCAGATGGATATTGTCTTTTAGTGAGTGATGTGGAAACCTATTTAATGGAGGGTAGAATTAGTTTTGACACTTAAACATGCTAAGAAAGGCCTGGTTAGTCAAAATTGTGATTTTGTAGTTTCAACCATTGAGAATCGTTAGGATGGTTCTAATGGTCGATTCGATATTATTTTCTATGGTTGGATGTAGAAACCCATATAACGGATGATGGAATTGGTCTTAACACCTTGGCATGTCCTACTGAGTTGTGTCAGCTAGGGGATGATTCAAGCTGAGCCAAGCCGAATACTTGGTTATTTGAGCTTGGCTCGCCGAAACTGTGTTAGGCTCGTGCTCGATTCAAACTAGAAATGTGAGCTCGAGCTTAGCTCGGTTCAAAGCTTGCAAGTTCGAGCTCAGCTCGACTCAAGCTTAACTACAAGCCGATTTTTTCTAAATATATATATATATATATATACATATATAAAAATATTTTTATTTTACATACAAAAAATTAAGAATTATAAAAATTATTTATTATTATATATAAAATAAAATTTTTTATTATATATGTTTATATGTATGTATGTATGTAATAAAAAGTATTTATTTATTATACTAGGCTCCAATTCGGCTCAATTAGCAAACGAGTCTATATATCAAGCTCGAGCTCGGTTTGAAGCTTGGTTTAAATCGAGCTGAGCCGAGCTTGAATAGCTTGTGAGAACTTCGACTCATGGCCACTCCTAGTGTCAATCATAATTGTCCTTAATGGTTGAAATTGTCAATTCACAATTTTGGTTGCTCGAACTTGTTGGGCATGTCCAAGTGTCAACACCAATTCCACCATTTGTTAAACTAGTTTTCATATCTACGTATGAAAGAAAGTGTCCATCTAATAGCCAGAACCACCAAAATGGTTCTTAATGGTTAAAACTTAGGATTCACAGTTTTTACCAACCTAGCCTTTCTTGATGTGTGCAAGTGTTGAGACCAATTCTTCCATCAATGAAATGCGTTTTTGCATTCACCCTTAAAATACGGTGTCCATCCGGCTATCAAAACCACCATAATGATCCATAACTAACAAAATTGCAAAATTGTACTTTTGGCTACATCGCCCCTATCTAGCATGTGTAAGAGCTAAGACCAATTCCGCCATTTGTTAAACGACTTTCAACATCTCCCCTGAAAATATAGTGCCTATGTAGCTTCTAAAAGCACCATAACGTTCCTTACTGGTTAAAATTTTGAAATCACAATTTTGGATAGTCTGGTCTTTATTGGCATGTCAATGTGTCAAGATCAATTTGACCATCCATGAAATGAGTTTCACATCTAGCATTAAAATATATTGAACATTTTGTCACCGGAAGCATGATAACGGTCCTTGGTGATCGGAATTATAAAATTGCACTTTTTGTATTCTTGACCCTTAGCTAGCATGTGTAGGTGTTGAGACTAATTCTATCATTATTTTAAATAGGTTTCCACATCCACCCCTAAAAGATGGTGCCTGCCTATATGCCTTGTCAGAACCACCATAACAGTTCTTAACTATCAACTCTATGAAATTGTAGTTTTGGTTGCCCCCATGCCCTACTTTGCTTGTCTAAGTCTTGAGAATAATTCCGTCATCCATTAAATGACTTATGGCATTCAACCGTAATATATAGTACCCAACCAGCCCCTAGAACCACCACCCATGTTCCTTAACAATGAAATTTGTGAAATTGTAATTTTGGCAAACCTAACCTTGCTTAACGCCTCCATGTGTTAGGGCAAATTCAACAATCTATTAAACAAATTTCAACATCCACCTATAATAAGGGGTGACCATTTGCTCGCTAGAACCACCATAATGGTCTTTAAGGGTTAAAACTATAAAGAATAGAATTTTGGGCAATCAAGTCTGATTTAGAATGTCCAAGTGTCAAGAAAAATTCCATTATTCGATAAGTAATTTTGTGCATTCACCCTTAAAAGACATTGCCCATATGGCCCTAAGAATTGCCATAACAATCATCAACGGTTGAAACTATGAAATCACAATTTCATCCAACTTGACCCTACCTAGTGTGTCTTAGTATTAAGACTAATTCCGTCATCCATTAAATAGGTTACCTAACCCACCTATAAAATACAATGCCTAACTTGATATTAGAACCACTATAATGGTCAAAACTGTGAAATTGTAGTTTTGGCTAACCTGGCCCTACTTAGCATATTTAAGTATTCAGATCAATTTTCTTATCCATTAAATGGGTTACCACATCCACCCTTAAAATATGTTGCTCAATCCGCTACCAGAATTCCCAAAATGATTCTTAACAGCCATAATTGTTAAATCATATTTTTTGCTAGCCCAACCTTGCCTACTATGTCTAGGTTTCAAGTCCAATTCCACTATCCACAATACATTTCATGGCGTGTTGAGGTGTGAGGATTATTTTTGCAATTTGTTAAGTGGCATGTTGAGGTATCAATATGGTTGTCAATGGATCGGGTTCAACCCAATGGATCTGAACCAATTGGGCCGGTTCTAGTTTCTGATATATTGTTGCAATTATTACCAATTTGGAACTGATTTTACCCAACTTAGACCTAATAGTTTATTAGATCGAATAATTTAGCAATTCAACCATTTGGGTCAATAGTTTGTTGACCAAGTTAAAAATTTTGGGTGGTCAAACTGTTCAACCCAAGAATTAGTCAATTGTCTAGTTGTCTAGTTCCATTTTATACCCAGATGATCAAACCATTCAACCCAAGAACTGATCAATTGTTCAATTCTGTTTTGTACTTGGTCCAAAATTTTTCAAAAAAAAAAAAAAAACATTGACTTGGTTAACAAACCGTTGTCCTATACAATTGGACTACTAAGTCGTTCAATCTAATAAATGGCTTTTGAACTATTTTTTATCTTAATTATATTTTATTTTTTAAGTGTCATGGGTTGAACCAAGGTTTTTAAAACCGAATTGGACAATGAAATGGTCAGGGTCCGGTTCCCGGGTCAAACAGTCCGACCTTTCGAACCGAATGGGTAGCCCATTCTGACAAAAAAATTAAAAATAATAAAAAACAGCCAAAACCATTGGACGGCTCAAACGATTTGAACAGTTCGACTGCCCAGGTCAGTGGTTTGTTGACCCAATCAATGGTTTTTGCCGAAATAATGGTTTTGGAATAAAATGGAACCGGTCACCAATTCCCATTTTTTCTGGTTTGACTGTCCGGCCTGATCCGGTTTTGAGAACCATGGGTTGACCCATTCAGACCGGATGGCCAAATTGTTGACCTTGACACTATGGCCAAAGTGGTTCTGTTTTGGATTGGTTCTTAAATTACCTTAATTAATTAACTTTATTTACTTATTTATATTGATTAGCTTTGTTTATCTTAATTAGTATAATTTAATTAATTAACTTAATAAAATTAATTAAATACTTTAGGGTCATTTAATTAGATCCTAACATTGACCACATAACTTTGTCTAGTGGATCTACGGGCATTGTTTCAAACACTACATTTTTTGCGTAGCATCGTCCTTTCCTCCAAAGTCTAGCGTTGGCCCTTTCTCAAAGTTCAAGGGTTATGAAGCCAAAAATCTTATATATATACATCTCTTAAATAAACTTCCACTTCAACCCCTACAAGATGATACCCAAGTCTTGGGTTGTAAATGAATCGAATTTGAGTCGAATCGAATCAAACAATATCTAAATTCAATTTGTTATATGATGGATATTGAAAATCAATGTTCGAATTCAAATAGTTTATTGAATTCGATTTCCACCTATTAATTATTTTTGGTAAATAATAAACATATAAGATAAATATTTTAATTATATAAAGTATATAAGGTATATATATTAATTATTATATATAAATGATATAAAATGTTTAAATATTTTACATAGGGTTCGACTATGATATGAAAAATATATAATATTTGATAAACTTCTTACCAGTCAACTAGAATCCTAATGTATTATATGTAAAAATTCTTTTTATGTTATATCTTTTCCGCATCATAAATTTTCCCTTTTATGTATTATATATACAAATTAAATAATCAGTCAAATTCAAATATTTATTAAATAAAAAAAAGTTACATATGAATTTAATCAATTATAATATTTGAATTATTCGAATTCAATTCAATTATATCAAATATTAAACTCAAAATAGGATTTTTAAGGCCATTGAAACCCCTACCCAAGTTATAGTACGCCATTGAACGAGTATGATTTATGTCATGTTTGTCGGGTAGGGGGGTTGAGTGGTATTTTGATCTTAACACTGGATTTCAACTTTCAACGAGCAGGTTTTAGTGGTAAAGGCGTGGGGGGATTTTCTTTTTGTGAAGGGGGGGCTCATAGTCATTTCCACCCGTGAGAATAGGATATCCTTTGGACGAATGGATTTTAATAGTGCGCCAATCTATAACCCTCCAAAAAGTTGGGCCAATTGGAGCTCTATCTAATCCCTGGTTTGCCCTCTTCGCCCTTCTTCCTGCTTAACTGATCGATATACTTCGTACTTTCGTAGTTCTTATCATCGACAATAGCTCAGAGCTCTGAAGAGAGGTTGAGAGAAAATGCCTTTGAACATGTTGGACGCGACCGTATCGAGCTTCAATCAGGTCTTTGAGAGGTTCAAGTCCGAAGCACCGAAGCATCAAGCCAATCTCATCCTCTTCTTGGCCGATAAAGATCCCTCCACCTCTCTAAGCTGGTGCCCCGGTACTTAACTTCAATTTCTGATCTGTTTTGGTAAACAAAATGAGAAATATCACACAAACTATTAAGGAACACAACCCTTCACTTAAGGGAGAAGAATTGTTTTGTTGGATTTGAGAATTCTACCAATGAAACTAATTCTTGTGTTTATGGTATGCGTTAATGATTGCTAGACGTTTGATGGGTTTTCTCTGAAGTCCTGGAAATTCATAAAGAAGCGATACAAATATGGAGGAATTGCAATTGCATGCCATATATTTGATGAATGCGAATTCTGTTTCTTCTTTTCCTTATATCATGAGGCATCTGAATCTTGGAAAATATAGTAGTTGAAATCTATGAACTGTGATGTGTGATAGTACTAGGAATAGCTAGCATGAAGTTCGGAATTTTGTGGTGTTGTCGATGAAGTTGAAGTGTTAAAGCTGCTTGAAGTAATTTTAGCCAGCGTTAGACAATTGTTTGTTGTTCTTCTTGGACTAGTTTAGGAAATGCACATTAGCAACCTTGTTAGCAAGATTTGAGTCATTTGACCAATCTGATATGAATAAAAAAAAAAAAAAATCGCTTGGCTGACTTAAAGATGTGAGTATATCAAATGGTTCCTTTTCTTTCCATGTTTTGAAGTCTAAATTTGCAAGATCCGTTTCTGACATGAATAAGCATTTCCATAAGAATGCTTTCATACCAAACTGATGTAGCACAGGTATGGCCAAAGCTGGACTGATGTAACACTTTTTGGAGAAAAACTGGAAATAAATTGATGATTTGCAAGGTTTAGGACTTGGATTTGCATTTGTGGAAATAGGAATAGGTCCATTCAAGATGGATGAGAATTTATTTACAGTTGTGGGGATGTTTGGTTTGGTTAGCACAGGTATGACCAAAGCTGGACTGATAGAAAACTTTTTGGAGAAAAACTGAAAAGAAATTGATGATTTACAAGGTTTAGGACTTGGATTTGCATTTGTGGAACTAGGAACAGGTTCATTGAAGATGGATGGGGGTTTATATACAGTTGTGGGGATGTTTGGTTTGATTAAGACAGATTTGTAGGAATGAAATTTCTACAATATACAAAAAACTATATAGATAAAAAACCGGAAAACTTAACATCTTGAGCTTTGGGTAGAATTTGTAAAACCTATCTAAAAGGAGTGCTTAGGATGCTAAGCTAAAGGAGGTAATTAAATATGAAGGGGTTCTCAGATGGTTTGGCACTAAGGAATGAACATTTCTAAAATAGGAAATTTCAACTCTTTAAGGATGTTTATATGGGATGAAAAGGGTGTAAAAGGGAGGTGGCTAGTTCTAGCCTGCTTTTTGCCAAGGCTGGAAGGGGCATTACAGGGGATTGAAAGTGGGGTTTAGGGAAATTAAATATATGGACTTATCTCGGATTGATTCCTGCCTTCTAATGTTGAATTATTACTTTTTTTTTTGAATTAGAGAAAGTATAAAGAAAGTCTTTCTCAAGGAGTCAGTGTTTCAAGTGTGTTGGAATCTTAGAAGTGATCGGAAGGAAGATGGAGGACGAGAGAAGGTTCAGAGTAGTAGGAAGATGGAGGTCTGAGGTATCGATCGAAGCCAATACATTCAAGTTCGAAGAGGAAATGATCAAAGGTGAGGATGCAATGAAAATCAGAGGGAATAACAGGGCGACTGTGTTGGTATCAAAGGAGGTCATTGTATGGATGAAAGGTTTCATAGATGGGGCTATCAACTCTGGTAAAGTGAATGGCTGGAAAAACTCCATGTCAGTTCTAGGTAAGAAATATGTAACAGAATTGAAAAGAAACAGAAAGGGATAGTTTATCTCTGTGGTGGAGTTTTTTGGAACAAATGGAAAACAAATGCTATGTGTGCCGGAAGGGAGATTACAGAAAGGGTGAATGGGTTTTGTGAAGGTGCTACAGTCTTTCCTTGTAGCCTCGGAAGATAAGAGAGTGGATGGGGTGAAGRGAACTGGTCAAAAATCCAAAGACCAGGGTCAAAAAGTTCAGGAGGGGGCAGTTTCGATTAGTACCTCTGGGAGTGTAGAAGTGCAAGGCCTTCCGACTGAAATGGTGGTTGCTTGCTCTWCTATTCATYRAAGATTATTGGTAGGAGCAGGGAAGGATGAGTGGAAGAAAAGAAGGGTGCTAGTGGCTGATAAAGGAGTGACAGATTGGAGGAGGGTTCTGAGTACAGTTGCAGGGGAGATAGGCATTGGGAGTGAAGCTATGTTGTTCACTTTTGTAGAGACGAAAGCCGTGCTTGATGTAGGCGACCAAGAACTTAGTTTTAAAGCAGTTGCGGTGGATGGAGGTTTGATACAGGTTCAGAACTGGAGCCCAATCTGCAATGAAGTCGAAGTCCAAGATGGGTGTGTCCGACTGAAGTTTGTAGGCCTTCCGTTTCACCTCTGGCGAGACTCTGTTCTTGAGAAGATCATGCAGAGTCTGGGAGGCATCTTGGTGAAAGCTGATAAACGAAATCTGGGTGTCGTGGAGTTACAGGTAGCTGGTGTACGGCATGAGAACCTGTCGAGGTTCTTTGAAATCTGCTCGGATGAAGCCTGGTACAAGATGTGGGTGGCTTCAGAAGTTGAACGGTCGTGGTGGGAAGGTGCTCCTAAGGTAGAGGATGATGAGCTGGCTGGGTGGTGGACATGTGGAGGGCAGAGGGTGGGAGATGAAAAGGTGGAGCAGATGAAAGTTATTTTTGGGGTTACTGAGCCAGTTGGGGAAACCCAAACGAAAAGCAACCTAATTAAGGAAACTAATTCAAATGGGTTTGATTTAAACAAATTAATGGCGGGCTCTTCTTCTTATGCTGACGTGGCGAAGAGGTAGGATGGGTTGGGGAGCTGAAAGGTTTGGTCCGAGCCGTTGAAGGTGGCAGGTGGGTCGGGCGGGGTGAAGTTTGAGCTGGGATAGCGTTGGAAGGGCCACGTGACAATTTAAAAGGTCACGTGGGTGGGTTGGGCGGTCTGGAGTTTGAACCGGAGCTTTTGTTTAAGGGCCCACGTGACAACTTAAAAGGTCATCCGGGCGGGTCGGGTGGGTGTAAAACCGAAAGGATGCTCCACTTGAAGGACCCACGTGATAACTTAAAATGTCACGTGGGTCGGGGTATGGGGACTCTTCTTGGGCCACTGATAGACAACGATAATGGTTTATCATCGTCCCAAGTCGTGAGAGGGGGGGGGGATGTGCGCAGTGACGGAAAATGGAGAAGAAGTTGGATTTGTAGCGGGTTCCCTGACGAAGTTTGGAGGATCTTAGCCCCCTGCGACGCTCCTCAAAGAGGCCGAATCCAAGATACTCTAGGGAAAGAACTGAAGAGAGGGAAGAGAAGGATGAAGGTTGGGTGCAGTGCAGTGAAGGAGATGAAGAATCGGAGGACTTTTCTGATGATGGTACTAGCGTGGGCAGTGTAAATGACGAAGGTAGTTGTGTTGGAGGTGACATGGTCAGGTGGAATATTGCAAGCTTATTTCAGGGTGAAGATTGTAATTGGCTTAACTCATTCCCAAGACTACAGAGTGTGCAAGGAATAACAGAAGGGGCAAACTGGGAGAACCGGAAGCAGAGCAAGAACACACCATCTAGGGGTGAACCAGGGGTAGAGTGGAAAGATCACCAGGGTGTCCAAAGGGCAGAAGTACTTTCCAACCAACTCAGGGAGATAGACATTTACTAACCTCTGGAACAAGAGAGGGAGGCCGGGAACAGTCCTTTTCTAGCCTGTCCATTAGTCCCAGGTAACCAAGTGAATTCGGCTTGTGCTACTAATGCGTCTCCTATAGCCCATGAATATGTAGTCAAGCTAGTTGGCGGGCTCTCCGAGGAGGGGGAGAGGGGAAGGAAGGTATAGGAATGAAAAAGTGTGGGAAATCATTGAAAGAGTGTTTAAGGAAGTGGAAGGAAAGTTGATCTGGAGGAGGGAAGGGGAGGGGACAATGGAGAGGAGGGAAGGGAAGGAGGGTAGAGATGGAGAGGATTACAAGGAGAGAAAAGGGAAGGAGGGAGGTAACAGGAGAGGGAGGATGGATGGAGAGGAAAGAAGAGAGGTGAGACCAGAGGAGAGGAAGAAAGGGTAGGTGGACAGAGATTGAGGGGATTTTGTAGGAAGGATAGGGGTGGAGGACTCGGTGAGAGAAGACATGATAGCAAAATTTGTAGGGAAGTTGGGTTGTAGGTTGGGAGATTTGAATGTGTTGAAAGAAAGCTTACAGAAGAGGAAGAAGGAGATCAGAACAAAGAAAGAGGAGATTGAGTGAAGTAGAGAGATTGAAGAGAGATGTAGAAGGTGACAAAAAGCTCGGGGGTAAAAGGAGATATAAGGAAAAGGGGAAAGTAGTGGGTAGATGGCAAGGGGTTTAAAAAAGAAGCGGAATGAAGATTTTTAGTTGGAATGTGAGGGGAATTGGGAGTGCAAGGAAGAGAGCGACAATAAAAGAGGTAATAAGGAGGTATGACCCAGACATTGTGTTGTTGCACGAGTCTAAGAGAATGGAGTTTAATAACAATGGGCAAGGAGTGTATGGAAAGCTAGGGGGATTAGCTGGGTGGCTGCTCCCTCGTGGGGTTTTTCCAGGGGGGATTGTAACAATGTGGAAGAGGGATGTGGTTGAAGGTTTGGAGGAGTTGATCAGAAAATACTCGATTTCCATGAATTTTAAGCAGCAAGAGGATGATTATATGTGGGTGCTCACAAATGTATACGGACCAAATGACTACAGAGAGAGAAAGGAGTTGTGGGAGGAATTGGCTGATATTAGAGGGTTGTGGGATGGCCCTGGTGTGTGGGTGGGGATTTCAATGTGATCAGATTCTCGGAGGAATCTAATAAGGTTAATCAAAGGGTGACAAAAAGCATGAGGAAGTTTAACAGTTTTGTGGATGCCTTTGAGCTTAAAGAGATTCCCCTAGCCCATAAGACATTTACATGGTCAAATCTCCAATCTAGACCCATTTGCTCTAAGCTGGATAGGCTCCTGTTCTCTTTGGATTGGGAAG